GTACCTAAGTTTTCTCGTTTTCTTCTCAACTACTCTAATCATTGAAAATTACTAAAGTGCTGAAGGCTTTGTTTGACAATCACAAATAAACGTCCAAACTACACTCGTAAATGCAGTTCATCAGTTCCTTCCCTGCTGGTAAACGCCTGATTTCTGCAAATACCGCACGTTTAACCTGTTCCGTATTCTACATATTATATAGCTTCGAATTTAGTCGGACTAATTATAGATGGAACAAAATTGAAGCCGTCAAAAGGCAAGAAAAAGTTTGCAAAGGCATACTATGAGATAAATTTTGTATTAATGCTATTCCAAAATTTTATCGCTGCTGCTGTCACTGCTGTTATTGATGATTAAGGTATGACTGAAAAAAAAAGAAAAAACTTTTAGAAAAAAATCTGTTGTTAACTGTTAGGTACTACACTTTTGATTTATAAGTCATTTTGTTTAGTTATTGTCTTCTTCACAAAATGTGTTTTTTATTTTATCTTTTTCTATTCATTTTGGCTTCTTTTAGCTTATTCGTCAGACAACAATCTCTTAGATCAGTTCACAGTCAAAACCAAAAAAAAATGAAAGAGAGAGAAAAGATAAAGAAATAAATCTTTTATACAAACATTATCACTGCTTGTAACGGCTAATTAAAAAAAAAAAGAAAGCCGTTTCTTTCTTAGTAATTGGTGGAAATTTCAGTGATGGGGATGATGATACGACTGTATGAAGAGGAATTGAATTTTTTTGCTTAACTTTCGTATGTTTGCAGCATGAATGAAATTTAAGACAAATCAAGTTTTCTTTCTACTCATCGGTTTTTTGTTGAGCATTTTTTTCTTTTTTGTCAGATTTGACACATATTACACCGACGAGCCGTCGGCAGAGACAATAGTTGCATAAGAACGAAGGGAAAGTCGGTAATCAAGTCTAGTCAAAAAGTTAAATGTTGCTGATGAAAACAGTTCTTGTTTTACCGTCCTCTTTCATTTCTCAAAGGGACACAGCAGTTGACCTTTTTTTTCTCCTTTTTGCTGTAGTCGAATATACATGTATAATTTTAAATCAAAAAATTTTGCTTTTAAGTAGCACACGAAAGTACTGAATTTGATGCTTTATAGTTTTACAAGTTTGACAGAAGACAACTGACAAAGGTGCTCTAACAAACTTGGTAGGTTTAAGAGAACTGTGTTTGATATTTCTGAAATTCTTATATAATATTTTGAATATTAAATACGAGTTTCATGTTGTTGCTTTCTGGGTCAAAAAACGGCTGAATTAAGGGTTTTGAAAAAACCAGTTATTAAATTGCAAAAAACGACTATGAATAACGGTAAAGAGGTTTCTACTCTCTGTTTATTTTACGAAAAGTGACGAAGATAGGAGCTTTTAAGACGATCAGATCAGTGAAGGTCAATATAATAGAGATGTGGTTTAATCTTCATACTTTGTTTGATCCTCAAGAATTCGCTTTTATATTGTGTAACCCAGTGAGCTTACAAGATTCAATGCAGAAAATGTTAAAAATTTTACAGTATCTTTTAGAAACAGTGTAAGACAGCAGCATAAGATTAAACTATTTGAAATAGTCGGCCGTGAAAAGCACCTCTTTTTTTACTTGATGTCGCTCTAAAAAGAAGAAAAAATTAATCATCTGAACCTGACAGCTTTGTGAGTATTTTGATCTCTACAGAATGAGGTCATTTGGTGAAACAATTGCCAAATGTACTGTGCCTTTTCTCGACTCAAACATTACTGAATTGTATGACCTAGACATTATTTTGTTTTATTCTGAACACTGTTGCTGAGTGGTCAAGAATTTGGTTAAGTAAACTGCATAAAATGCAAGTAAGTTAACAATATTTTACATAGAATATTACTGCTTTTTGATATTGACAATCGAACTTAAAATTTTGTTGCGAAAAAGAAAAATATTACTGAAGTCGTTATTGTTTCCTGTTGTCTTTTATTTCTTACTCAGTTTTGAAAAAAAAAAACTATTGATAAGAACATATTCGAATACTTTGCTCCGATTTCTCAGTCATAGCCAGATCTTTCAGTTTGTGAGTTGTTTGCTGTAGAGCGATTTTTGGCTATAATCTTTTGAACCAAATTGCAGCATTTAAGAAGGCGTAAAAATTACATGCTGAAAAAAAAAGTATTGTCAAAATAACATTTAATTGTCGGCATCAAAGTTGTTGCGCTTGTTCAGTTATAAAAATGGCAAAAATTTTTCAGAATATTCTTGGTTCGGTTATAATTTTTTCAAAAACTGTTCAAATAACTGTCTGCTCACTGCGGAGGCAAATTTTTTGTGTAAGTATCTCTGCAGTGAACAGATGGCAGCACGAATACTCATAGCATCATAATACATGTAATGAACGAACCTTTTGGTTGTGGTTGCATGTAACATTTTTACATTTGGGTTGATGCTGAGACACTGCTCACCAACGCGCCAGGCAAGGATTCCTCTATTTCCAACCATTCAAATCAGATATTACTATCAAAATTGAAAAACCTCATAAGCAACAGTAATAAAAAAATAAAATTTTTTTTATCTATAAAACTCCAATTGTGTACTGAAAAATCTCTCAAAGTTTACTATTTTTTTATTTCACTACATTTCATAACAACTTTCAGAAGGAGAAGAAGGATACAGTGTTTAATGCGCGTTAGAAAAAAATAATGTATTATCATTGCATTCTTTTTCAACAAACATTCTTGTCACAAATCTCCTTCTTGAGGATAAATTTGGACCTTTCAAAAGATGCATTTTTGTTCGGATTGCAGGAGGTTTTAATGTGGAAATTAAAAGGCCTGTCGAAACAATTATTTTCAAACGACGAACATACAGAGTAATCTTTAAGACGGATCTATTTGATGACAATAAAGTACTAATAACACTCACCAGGAGATTGAGGCTGTTCAGTGAACAAGACGAGAGCGTCATGCAGCAAAAGATCGGTGACTTCTAAATTACCGACGACCCAGCTAATAATTTTCAAAAAACTGCATTTTTCTTGAGTCTGCGCACCTGTTTGTTTTTAGGTTTTACATCGACTACAAAAATAGAAAAGCTATTGCTATCTAGGTCAGAAAAACTCAAAATTAAGCTTTTTTTAGCTTGTTATTAGAGCAGTACGCAATTTTTAAGTGATACCTGGGCGTAAATGCCGTCTTATAAACAAAACGTAGATGCCCGAACTCGTCCTCTGCGAAAGAAAAGCTCAGAAAGCCATTCAAATTGCCTTCTAATTTTAGTGACTCTGTTGAATTAAAGAAAATAATCACTAATGAAAATGTATTTTTTCAAAGTACAAAACAATAAAAAAAAGAAGGTATGTATGATGCTCAGAAACTGGCATCTACCAATGCCAAATTGTCACAAGTGTCAAGTAATTTTAAGGGTTTTCTTAGAAAACAGCCCTGATTGAGAAAAAATTCAGAGAAATTGATTTTAGAGTGCACAAAAATCTTTTCTGGAAATATCATTCTGCTTGTTTATTTTAGCAGTTATATAAAGTAATACATTGAGAAACAAAACATAGGCAGAAACTTTTTTTCGCCTCACAGTTAAATATCAGAAAAGTGATGCAAAAATAAATATGCATGCCTGAAGAAACTTTTTACGAAAACGGCATTTACAACTGAAGAAGAAAACAGTTGATGAAAAAAAACGAAAAATGCAAATTAATTTTTTATATGTGTGCAGATAATTTAACCAAATTAAATAATATTTAAATAAAATATCGTTGATTTATTAATGTTATGTGACAATTAACACATATATATTTATATATATAAATATCAAAAAAATATAAATATAAAAACAAGTGTAAATAAATAAATAAATAAACATAAATAATAAATATATATATATATATATATATATATATATATATATACGTAAGTACGTAAAATAATCATCGTTTCTTCTAGACTTATCAACAGTGGTATTTACCGACCTAGCCTTGGGGTTGGTAATAGCTGCAACTATAAAAATGGTAATTTTTGTCACTAAATCCCCAAAATTGTAGAATCTTCAGGTTGTCGCTTCAATGCAATGATGGCACAAAAATTTGTCATTTATCAACAATATCAAGAATAAACAAGTAAATCAAACAGTTTGACGAATTATAACTTGCCATGATTTGTATTGCCCGATTTAATTGCCCCAAACAATAGCCTATCTTCAAATTTTTGAGTATCTGCAAAAGAAAGTTTTTTTTTGAAGACAGAATTGAAAATGGAAACAAGACAAAAAATTAGCAGCGGTCAAACGAATATGCGTCAACACTGTTTAGAAAAACAAGCTAAAAGAAAGAGATTAATTGATAGGCAAGAAAAAACTTTTTTCTTTAACATTTTTTACCTTATCAACTCTATGGTATCTTTTTTTTGTTGCTTATTTCTGCAATAACAATCGCTGTTGCTACCCCTACTAAAAAAAGACAAAAAGTTTCTTCTGTTTATTGCTTTAATTTTTGCCTTTACACGAGTTTAACTAAAGACTAATCTTCATACTTCATCGTCGTTCTTCTCATCACCACCAATAACAATATTATTTTTGTTTGCACATCCGTCTTCCAAATGACAGTTCATAAAAATGGTTTGTGTGACAGAAACCATACAAACGCTGTATGTGCATTACAAATTTAGTACGCTTGAAAAAAAATAACAAATAAATAAATAAATACACATATTATTCAATAAGGTAAAATAAAAATGATTGTAATAATGCGGTAAGTTACATTAAAAATTATTTGATACTTACAATTAAGCAAAGATAAAAAATGGTACACTTCATCTATTTTCTTGTTTTTTTTAGCTTTTTTTTTCCAAGTCTTCAGTAGATCTGAAAAGTACAAAAAATTGTTTGTTGTAAGGTGCTCTTTAGCCATAGACCATTTATGTTTTCCGTTCAGGTAAAAAGGCTCATGTTTATCAACCCCATCAACATCAGTTATAAATTTCCGGGGCTGTTCTCTCACCAACATTTTCCTGCAGTGTCAAGAAACTTTGCAGTCATCATTTTCATCATGTCCACACAATTGTTTATCAGAACTTTTCCGGATCTTCAGAGAAAGGTGTTTGGTTCGTCGAATAAGACTTTTGGAACGACCTAACAAACGTGGAGCATCTTCACCAACTTCAGAGTTCCCCTTTTCATCCGTTTCACTTTTTTCAGATTTTTCAATTTTTACCTATAAAACATACTTAGTCATTTAATGAGTCTAACAACATTTTTCATCTCTCCGCTTTAATTTTGACTTTTTTCTCTCGCTGCATTCTCGTTAGACAATCACTCTAAGAGAGAAAAAAAAATCTTTTCAATAAATGTTTATGCTTTGAGTGGCAAAAGTGATGTCACTAAAAAACTGCAAAAAACCTTTAACGATCGATTCCTACGCAGGTGTCCCTCTCTGTTTGGAATGGTAAGCACTGAGTCTGTTCGCACCTGAAAAAGAAATAAATTCAATTAAAATCAAAGTCACTGGGTCAATAAGCTTACCAACTTGATTAAGCTATTTGTGCATACCAAGGGCCTAGCAGACTGACTTCGCTAAATGTTTATAAAAGTGGCGAAAATAAAAGGCAAACAGTTAAATAAGAAATTGATACATTTTCATCCTTCTTTCGAGTAACACTACGTCCTGAACGTGCCCCTCTGGAGATCTGCTCAGCAACGCTCTGATGTGCTTCTTTAAAAACCAATTCCTGGAAAAACCTAAACCATTGAAAAAGACTAAACAGCTTTCACTTGTCTTCAGTATATCGCCTTATACTATGTTCCTTAACCTCAATCTATCTTTTTACCCAAGTAGTAATTGGATTTATTTTGTTTTTTTTATTGCTGCAAGAAAACGCGTACGTATGAGCACTTCAACTACAATAGAAAGTAAAAGCAACACGTTTTAAACCTTATTCTACTTTTCTCAATTTCGCTATATACCAGCAAACCATCCTTCGTATATTTCTACACTTACTTTATTTTCTGTGAACAACTGGGTATTTCAAAGATATTTTAGTAATGGTTGCTTCCACACCTTATTTACCTTTAAAAAAGTAAGACCGCTAAGCTCCAAAAGCGTTCGAAAGACGTTGGTAATATTTTCGCCTGTTTTTGCTGAGGTTTCTAAATAACGAATATTGGCATTTAGGCGTGAGGTCCATGCAGTTGCAGTTGCTTCAAAAATCTGAAATCAGCAACAGCACCATTATACCACCTTAAACTTAACAAAAATTACGTGCATTACCAGAAAAATATATGACAACACCCTTCTTGCCAAATGTGAACCTTAAAACCGTTTGGTTGTTTACTATTTGAATCTTTAAAATTCTGATATAAATTTTTCTGAATTATTTTTCAGACTACATCAACACTTTTCCAGATTCTTTTTAAAAAACCCTCTAAAATTAAAAAAAGCTTAAAAACACTTTGGCCTTTCTGTAAAATATTTGCAATAATCTTTCAAAACACAAACACAAAAAAGTCAAGGCACTAACTTTAACAGCTTAATTCCCAAATTTTGACGATATGCAGTTGATGCATCAAAATGTTACCAAAAAAACTAATAAAAAAACTAATATTTTGACCTTTTTAGTAGATAAATCACATTTATTTCCAGCAACCACAGTCGGCAAATCTCGAAGGTCAGTACGACTTTCACAAATTTCATTCCATACATCGCTCATCTGCAACGAACGTCCTTATCATTTTTTGCCAGCATTAAAAAATAATATTTCAGCAATTGTGTTATAAAATTCTTGCTAAATTTTTTTCTAAAGATTCTCATTATAAATAATAGAACATTTGAATTTGCGTCAAGTATTTTTTTCAAAACATTAATATTTTACAATTTAAAAATTTATCAGTAAAAAAATAATTATATCACTGGTTGTTTACAGTTTTGTTTTATCTAATAATTTTATATGCTTATTTCTAAGCAAAAAAATGACAACTTTAAAAACTACTAACTTCTTTAAAACTCTGAACATCGTCAACGGCAAAAACAAGTAAAAATGCGCTTGCTGAAGCAATTGCCACTTTACGCATATCCGGAAAGTTAAAGTTGGTGTCAAGAATTTCCAGCGGAATGACTTCATCCTGCAATCATAGATGAGCTTGATCTGTTGAAGTCTTCTAATCAGTTTTTCATCTTGAATCATGCAGCACGACAACAGGTAGATGAATACATCAGCGAAAAAAAAAAAGAAATCTACCAGCCGTTGTTACAGAGACCGTATGGAACAAGCATTAGCCAGACAGAATGCAAGCAACAGAAGGCCGAAAGTAATGAGAAGAACTGGTCATTAGAAACTGAAGACACGATGATATTAAACATCTAGCTAAATTCATCTTCAGTATCCATACCTATTATAATCACCTATTAACCACTTTTCAAAAATGCCTAATAGGTCGCCTAAAATGTTTCAACGTTCAGTAGCCCAAAAATTGATAGTTTATTAAGAGCTCGTTTATCTACTTCTATTTGTTTTAAATTCATTAAACAGCAACTAAGAAAGCTGCATACTGTAAGGTTTCCAAAAAACCTAAAAAACCTTCTCAAGGATATATTCTAATTGAGGATCGATGGAATCATGAAATATTAATTCTGCACTTCTTTTTCCTCTCCCCCCCTCAACTCCTGTAATTTTTAGGCGTTTTAAAAGTGCAATATTATTAGTAGCTGCAAAACAAAAAACAGGATGTAAACAGTTTATACTGGCAAAAAAAATTAAAGTTGCACAGGAAATCAACAGATAATAAATTTAATAACATAAAATTCAACAAAAAAGTCTACCTTTAATTAGGTTTAAAACAACTTAACGTCGTCACTGCTGTTAAACTGCTAACAGTTTAAACGAGCATTTCATTTTTAGTTATTTTTGCTTTACTCTTTTCATTTTTCTGCCCTCCTTTCTTTTAAGCCAACAAATCAACGAATATGACTAGAAATGATGAAAGCAACAAAAAATGAAAAATGCGTAGATATAACTGCATTTTTTCAGCCTTAAAATAAAGTTTTTCTTATCTCTTCGATAGGTGCAACAATATTTTGTTAAATACTACTAAAAACAGGGATTTACTGGAGTTCAACGAAGGACTCTGTCACCAGAATGACCATGGGAATTTTGGACGATGACAGGACAACAATAACAACAGCAAAAACGAGTGTTTTGGAAACTGCTTGAACAATGGCTCCACCTTTGGGCACCCGCCCAGTCATTATCACTCTCTGTTCTCCTCCCTTCTGTTCATTTTGCCAATTTATGTGTCTGTGGCGCACCAGTCGTCAGAAACTGAACAAAATTTCTTCTAAATTACGTAAATCGAATAAAAAATAGAGTAAAATTTTTTTGGTTTGCCTTTCATCATTAAAAAAAAAATTAATTAATTAATTAAAAAAAAAAAAACGAAAAACTGAGACAATTTTCGTGCAAAACGAGCATTTGCCCTTTCCAGTAGCAAAGTACCTGGTCAAAAGGTATTGACACAGAAAAAAACCCATCTTTATTTCCAAATTTAGCATAATACTTTTGTAGGCTCTAAACATAGAATTTTTTCTCCTATAACTAATAAGAAAATAAGCTTCTCTATCGTTTTTACTGATGTTTAGATGAAAAAATCTTAATGCAGTTTCAATCAGTTTATGCACCAAAGCATTAAAAAAATTACCAAAAAAAGAAAAAGAGGATAAATTTTGACGTTATTTTGCCACAAATTAATTCTACTTCTTTTTTTTTTTTCACTTTCATCGAGGAAAAGTTAACTAGAACAAACTAATCTGCACATCAAATGTACAAGTTGTTTGAAACATTATTGTCATAATTTTGCAATCCGTTACTTTTAATCAACAATTTTCTGCAATAAAATTTAAATATTTTTAGAGTAATTTATGATTACTGCAAAATAAAAAGAAAAATGAGGACTTTAAAAAAGACAAATTAGAATAGGAAAGATTAAATAAACGACATATAAATTCCATTAGCAAATAGATATACTTAGAAGCGGGGTCTGAACTCAACCAATGAATACAATATCTTTACTAGCCAAATACGATGACAAATAAAAACTGTTAGCGTCTAAAGAATTTTTAAAAATTAGCCCTATCACCGATCAAGTGATAGTGTCATCAGTGTTTGTTAATGTATAATCTGCAGTAATCAACTGGCTTTTTTTTTTTCTGCACCAATATTTTTTGCATTAACTTAAAAGCCTTTGCTGAACCAATGTGAATGCAGCTATCATTACGTCGGCATTCTGACAAAAAATTAGTGTTTGTCAAACGTAGTCGATGGCGCTATGAGAGCAATAAAATTAAATTTTTTTGCATTGCTTTCTTATCCATCAAGTTCAGGCAAACAGCCTAAAAAAGTTATTTCACCCTAACAAATAGCTAAATGCACCCCCATAAGATACACTGAATCAAAAGCATTGTACATACCCCAGTAGCAATTTAGACACTTCTTTGATGAGCACCAGCAGTTTGTCAACAACTAACAACTGTGTGCTTAAACTTATTGCAAAATAGCATTTCAGATCACGAATACCTATTTTTTCCTTTTTTTATCCAGCATTAAGATCTTTCTATTTCAAGGAAATCTGCAAACTTTATTAATTAGCCGTTGAGAAAGTGGTTACTAAATTTTATCACCGATTATCATATTTTTTTGACTCTCAATTAACAACCAAAATTAGTAGTTGATTAAGACGCAAGCAGATAAGCAACTAATAAATGCGCGATATGTGGTGAAAAGGAATGAAGAAAAAGTGCCACAAGATCTGTTTTGGCATACATATGAATTTATTTAAGAGCATTTGCCGTTAGAAGTATTTGGTGAGAGAAGTGAAATAATAATTTTCCTTCTTGCTTTATTTTCATTCTTCAACCAATAACAAGAACAAAATTAAGATCAATTTAGGCATATTAAACTTTTGATCCAGTTTAGCCTAACCCTATTACTGAATTATTTCGCCATGAACGGTCTGTAAAATCGTGTGTAATCAGTGTCTGTTGATCATATATTACAAAAAAATTTTTAAATTTTAGACAGTTTGTTCTCTTACTTAACCTTATAAATAAACGAAAGAAGCTTCTTCAAAGATGACAGAGAAAAAAATTTATTTCTGAGCACTCATCTGGAATAAAACGAAGATGAAAACGAGCTTGAAATGGATAAGAAAAACAGAAAAAACCGATATATTTGTGGTGGTTATCCAAGTGACCAGAAACAATGCCCGTTTCAATCGTCAGTGATTGCCAGTTACTTGAGAAATACAAACAAAATGATAAAAAATAGCAAACAATCAAAAAAGACAAAAAAATTTTTGTCTCCCATCAGAATTTACAAGAAAATAAAAAAAGAAAAAAAATTTGTTTGCCATTTTTTTAGAGCGTGTTT